ACTTTTTTTTTTTTTTCAACGTTTATTTATTTTTGGGACAGAGAGAGACAGAGCATCAACGGGGGAGGGGCAGAGAGAGAGGGAGACACAGAATCGGAAACAGGCTCCAGGCTCCGAGCCATCAGCGCAGAGCCTGACGCGGGGCTCGAACTCACGGACCGCAAGATCGTGACCTGGCTGAAGTCGGACGCTTAACCGACTGCGCCACCCAGGCGCCCCGAGCAACTGACTTTAAGGAAATCTATAATCTATAATAATCCACAAGCAGGTACGCAATGGAACCCACCAATCTAAGCAACTACTAACAATGATGAAGAAGCAGACTCTGTAACAACACAGAATGAAGGTCACACATATAATGGGTGTGTGAACATTTAACCCAATGTTAATCCATGTGGGTTGTGAGATCATAAGTGATTCTTTTGCTCTTTATCTGTTCTTTCCAGTATTTCCAGAATGCACATGTATTACTCTTACATTAAAAAAATATGTATATATATATTTTTGAACTTGTGGGGGATTTGGGATTTGAGCTTGCTTTTCTGATTTGTTTTTCCCTCCCCAAAATGAAGCACTGAATATGATATAAACAGCTACAGATGAATTTAAACCAAAATCGGAAAACAAGATTTTACGCATTTGACAGTCTTAAAAATGGGAAGAATAAGATCCTATCTAAATGCACAGCCTTTTTTTTTTTATCACTTGTAAGCTTGCCAACATTTTTTTTCACCTTGACTATGTATCAGTTGCACCACGAGGGGGCGCCGCGAACTTAACGAGTACAATAAATGCAGCCCCTGGCCTGATGGAAGGAAGCAGCTGAAATCCCGAACTTGAGAGGAAGCAAGACATACTCCACACTGATGGCTTTGAGCCCACCTTCATCTCTTCAAAATGCCTCAGAGTCCCTTAGACAGCTCACTTTGGCTGGAGGTACCCAGTGTGGAAAACTAAAATGGGGCGACCATTTGTGTCATGACAGCAGGAAGAGTTGATTTCTGCAAATCTAATAGATTTAATGAAGCTGCTATTGAACAAATGAAAATTTGGAGCCCCCATAACACAAAACTAAAGAACACAACAAAAGCAAATGTTGCGGAAATCATCCTAGAAGTAATTTGATCCTAAGGACACACAGTTCTACCAGTAACTTGGAGACCAACATAATTTCAGGTTATTTGGGGTAAAAACAAACAAAAAAAAAAGTTACTCAACTGAGAGACCCAATTGTAACATAATTCTTTTCTAAAAATGTTTAAAACATTAAAGATGGGATAAAATTAGGTAGGCTTTGTGAGACTTTGTGAGTCACGTTCAGTTTTATAATTGATTAACGATAAATTTAAAATACAGGATAAAGTCTCAGGCACTCTCAAGGGTAAACGGACAAAACCAAACAAAAAAAGCTGCCACATCTCAAAAAGAAAAAGATTCAGGGCAAAAATCCTAGGAATTCCGAATTTCCTAAGAATTCCAAGTAATTCTACAGTGAACTTAGGACAGTGATTGGGGGTATCACTCTTGGAAAGATATACGTGGCTTTGAGCCTCCAGTTCAACTCCTAACATCTCAGACCTTGGGCATTTTACCCTGGAAATGCTGCCTTTATCATGTGTCATGTGTGGTTTCCTCATCTTTTCTTTTTTTAAAAATTTTTAAAGTTTGTTTATTTGTTTTGAGAGAGAGAGAAACCAAGAAAGTGAGCAGGGGAGGCGCAGAGAGAAAGGGAGAGACAGAATCCCAAGCAGGCTTCGGCACGCAGCTCTAACCCATGAACTGTGAGAGCGTGACCTGAGCTGAAACCAAGAGTCGGATACTTAACCGACCGAGCCACCCAGGCGCCCCATTTCCTCATCCTTAAAGTAGTAAAGATAGTAATAATAATATTTGTGTTACTGTTTTCCTGTATGAAATGAGATAGTTTATGAAAAAATGCTAAATCTGTGCCTAGCATATAAAAACGCGGTACCTGGTGTAATAAGAGCCTGAGCAATATTAGGACAGCCACGGCTCTTGTGCTCGTCTGTGGCCAAGGGAAGCGTCTGAACGCCTCTGTGCTTGTGTTGTCATGACTCCAATGGAAATAAGGAGTCTGATGTTTAAAACACCCAACACCAAATACATTCGTCTCTTTCTGCATACAACGGAATGCTGGCTCTCAATAAGATACACAAATGCATCGACTACCTAGTATAAGAGACTGTTGGCTCCTTAACAGATCTCAGAGGGCTTTATTCAGAGGTCTTTCCTCCACATTGCTGCTTAACAAAGAAAAAAATGGAAATGAAGTGCCCTGCATAGAGTTCTATAAAATGGCTGAGAAGAGTTACCCCAGGTCAGCTCCACAAGGGTGACAAATAACTTGGAACTGCCCCCCTACACACAATCTATGGACATCAGGACGACCAGTTCCTTGAGAATTCTGCCTGGTTTTCTTCCACAGCACTTAAATGCTACCTGATATACTAGATATATCACTTACTTGCTTGTTTCTTCTCTGCGCCCCCTCGCCCCCCATTTAAGCACCAGGAAGGCAGGGATGTCTCCAGTGCTGACTTCACTTCCAGAATGAATAGAAAGGCTGTGAAGGAGGCATTGGTGTTTGGGGAGCCTTGACTTTGGCAGTCTGCTTGACTTGAGGGCTCACCTCCTGGTCTGTAAACTACCTCAGGTCTGAGGGGTTCAGGCGCAAGGAGTTGGCCCAGAAACTCACCCAACGCTCACATCAGCCTCCCCAGCCAACCTGCAGGTCTGTCCCCAGCCACTGCTCATGCTCCATCGAGAGCATTCCAACCCATCACTCTGACTCCCCCGTGCCTTAATGCTTCATGGCTACTCTCACACCTTCTTGAAAGGAGGCAAATGTCTATCTGATACGGAATTTCTGTCTGGCAGCATTTCCCTTCAATTTCCACCAAACCCTTCTCCCCTGGAATACTAAACACAAAAAAGACTCAAAGCTCCTAAGAAAAAAAGAGCTTCTGAACTCCAGATTTCTATTTCTCCCTCATTATGCCAAACCTTTGTAATACATTTCATCCTTGTTCCAGCTGACCCTTGGCTCCGTCAGGCCATCTTCTGACCGGGCCTTGCTTTGGAAGCAGCCTTCTTGCACTTGAGACGTAACTCAAGGTAAAAATTTTAATAGGGAGGAAAGTAGGATAAAAAATGGGATCATTTAGAAACCATTCGGGAAGGCACCGCATTTCTGATTCTCCCTGTTCTCCCAGAGAAAACAGTCAGAGGCCAGAATCTCTTAGATCTCAACAAACTTCCCCCATAAGCAAGGGGAACCAGACCAGCGGAAGGATGCCTCCGAGCATCTTGTCTTCCCCTACCTAAGATGGGGAAATGCTGGCCTTTTCACACAACATCTATTCTAGAAGTTTCCATAATGGTTGGCGGTGATATAAATGCGATATCTATGGAATAATGGCCAATGCTGTTCTATGAGGGAGACGTGCTCAGTGGTCCAGAGAGCACTGGGCAAAGAGTTGGAGCGTGGGCTCTACAGTCTTTGCTGAGCATTCGATGTAACTTAGACATCTGTCTGGTCCTCAATTCCTGATGTATAAAATGCAGAGTTAGATTCAACCTCTATGGCAGATCTTAGCTTTGGGTTCTCCAAAAGCATATTGCCTCCTAACGTCCTTGGCCACACCAGGGTGCTCCACACACAGTCGTTACTGAGGAAGGTCTAGCGTGTAGCTCCATGAGCGGGTGGGAAGATGTTCAGCACTCATTCACTGTTGTCCTCTGAATAAATGACTTAAGCTGACATTAGGCTTTGAATTGGATCCGTTAAACCACTAAGTCTCACTTTCCCCTTTCCAAGATGGCAACGACCATCTTGCCTACCTCACAACGTCACCAAGAAGCGCGAACGAGGTAAATCAGACAAAAGCACTGTTGAGTGTAAAACTCTAATAATAACAGTGCAGTAGTGTTTTTATGACGGAGAGGGAGCTGGAGGCATGAACACACGGACCAGAGTTCCTACAATGCTTTGCTGCTAAAGCATGAGGTCTGGCTCTGTCCATTCCAGGGATGTTAGACCTTCAACACACAGCCTCAATCCAGGAGCAGAGAAAAATCACAGTGGTGGATGTTGGCACCCCCATCTCCAGCTGGGGGTCTGGGCTGGGAGACTTGCTGACTGGAGGCCCTAAGGTCCACCTGCCTGTGGAGCTGCGACCTCTCCTGACCCCAAGGTAATTGCGGCTTTGATCTCTAGTTCTACGCTGGCTGTCGTAGGTATGCTGAGCTCCACGGACTGGGCTCAGCCAACCCACCGGCCCTCATCAGCCCTTATCACCCAAGAGCTCAGTGCTGGAGCCTGGCCTCCTTTCCCAGTTTCTGGTTGATCAATTCCCAGAAACAGCCAAGTATATTTTTGGGGTTGAAATTTATTGTGAAAGCTATAAGCTTTATTGGGATAAAAATGTGTTCTGACACAAAAACTATTCTTGACAGTTCCATTTCACTGCTGACATCAATTAAATAAGCAAGTGATGCCATTTCTTAAATTCAAAGACGGATTGATATTATTTAAACAGACAAGGGCCATCATCAGTTGCTAGTCTGTGTGATAAAACATCGTAATTATAATTAATACAACATAACTGGGGCCATAATTACAAATTAGTATTTTTAACATTGCAATTAAGGAAAATAATCTGTAGAGAAGCAAAAAGAAAAAAACAACAACCCAGCTACAGCTCTCTGGCATGATTTTGAATCTACTAGAGTTCATACATTCTTCTAGCTGGATGAATACTATTTGTTGTCTTTTTTTTTTTTCAATGTTTATTTTTGAGAGAGAGAGAGAGAGAGAGAGAGCAGGGGAAGGGCAGAGAAGGGGACAGAGGATCCGAAGAAAGCAGGCTCCATGCTGTCAGCACAGAGCCTAACATGGGGCTCGAACCCAGGAACCCTGAGATCATGACCTGAGCCAAAGTCAGGTGCTCAAGCGACTGAGGTGCCCAGGTGCCCCTGTTGTCATTTTTAATATCTAGTTAAATCTTTTGTTGATAAAATAAGTAAAGACTTCAATCTTTTGAAGCAAAAGGTTGGATTCTAGGAGTTCTTCTTGACGTTTAGCATACATCCCTCTGACAACAATGAATTTAAAACAGAATGTGTGCACATAACAATTCAACTCTAAACGGGCTTTGCTAATTGCCTGGAAATAGCAGGAGCAAAAAGTTGCAAACAGTCTCAAAGTACACGAACGGCCTCTGGCCCTACACTGAAAAACTGAGACAGTGAGATCAAGAGAGAGAAACGAGCCCCTCAGCAAAATTAAAAGTAGTATAGTTCCTGTTTTGAGCCACCGGCATGGTAGTTTCTGGAGCCGCAGTGCAAATCACAGCTCAAAAATGTTCAGCGGGGCCCCGGCTCGTGCCACAAAAAGGCTTTCAAAAAAACATTTAAGTTTATCAACGGCCCTTCCAGGAGAAGTGTAGGGCAAAGTTACTGCAGAACCTTCCCATCAAAGCTTCACAGAAAGAAGTCGAAAATACAGGACGGAACCAACACAACGAGGACTATGCGGACAGAGAGAGAAAACCAGAAACCGTTGTTCACAAGCAAAACACAGTGCTATTGTCAAGGCGGTGTTTGACCATACACAAGCCCCACGTGGGTGTCGGGGCGACCCTGTGACTTCACAGGCATTTCTGTCTGGACCATCTACCTAGGCTGCCCCACCTCTTGTCCTTCAGAATACGGGGCAGTGGCAGCACTGGAATGTCAAGCCTGTCTGAAGGGCATCTGGTTCAGCCGTTTTGAGGTGGAGGGAGGGGAGGGAGAGACCCTCAGGGAGGGAGCAAAGAGGAAACTGCATCATCGAGATGAGCACTTCCTGTTGGTGTGAACATCTCTCTCCTCTTCCACCCAGAAGATCCGAGAGGCCGCGGTGGGTCTGAGGCTGATGTGCAGGTATGTGGGGTCATTCCAGGCTTTTGGTGAGGCCTTGACACTACTTTCAACCTTTAGTACTCACTGTAGAACCCTGCAAGATTGGCCAGCTACCATCCTCCCCCTTCCCCCCCCCCCCCCCCAGATCCCTGCAAAGCTATACTCCCTCCTTTGGTTCGTACTTTCAGGCACGAGGGTCTAGGACAAAGTTGAGAAGGTTACTCATAATTTTCTAACTATCTGCTCCATGGTATTTCAACTCTCAGCCAGGGATGTCTGGCAGGGAAGCTCCCTCTTTCTGACCCTCTGACCCCCTCTCATAATTTACCAAGTATCATGATGACCTCTGCTTCCTTCCCAAAGCTCATAAATCCCACTTGCATATGTGTAACCAAAGCACAGCACGGTTCCTTTGCCTCTAGGAATGGTAACTCACTCTTTTAAGGCAAGACTGCAGAGCAAGAATAACCTTGATTCTTCATTTACTCCTAGTATGACATTGACCTGAACATAGGGCTGACTTTGAGAGGTCACTAAAGAGCTTTCAAATACAGAGTGGAGGACAGAGTTTAAACAGATAGAGCATTTGATTGGCTGGCATAAGAAAACATTATTATTATTATTATTATTATTAGCGAGTGCGAGCAGGGGAGAGAGAGAGAGAGAGAGAGAGAGAGAGAGAGAGAATCTTAAGCAGACTCCATGCTCAGTGCAGAGCTTGACGGGGGGCTCAGTCCCACCACCCTAGGATCCAACCAAAATTAACCGTCGGACAGTCAACTGACTGAGCCACCAGGTGCCCTGAAAACATTATACTTTTAATAGAATGGTGGTGCTCTGGCCACCATAATGTAAAATAGGCAGATCAGAGCCTGTTTATGAGAAAGGTAAAGCACTGTTTTTAAGTTGATACTTCAAGTATACACACGTAACTTGCAATTAATAGTATGGAAATACAAAGCTATTATGTGGTTCGTGATTACTCCATGCGGAACACTGGAAAGGAGGTTGAGTTTCTATGCACGCAATCTCTCTTTCAAGGATTATCTCAGCAAGTCACCTGCCCTCCCCATTCATAATGCAATTCTTAGGCCAGCTGAAGAGACTTATCCAATGTTTGGCTCTGCTGTAGATTCGTCCACTGGCCTCTTTCCCACTCCAGTGGAGCAAACAGTGTTGCAGATGGGGAAGCCGGGCTTCGACAGCACCCAGTTAAGCTGATGGTCACACTTGACACCCTGGGATGAAGCAAAGAAGGCCACCTGGCAGGTGATCCATCCCAAGGGCACCCAGAAGGCCCATTCCCAGCCCTGGGCTGCATTACACTCCCAGGCAGGAGAACTTTTTCTTGCTATGTTGCCAGCCACCAGCATGTGTAGACTCGTATCCTTTTCATTAACCACAACGGCAAGGTCAGCCATGTGAGCCAGCAGGGTAGTGGCTTGTGGTCGGTCATGGGGGAAGAGGGTGATTTCATGGAAACCAAGAAGCCTTCTTGTTCCAGGAACATTACACCAACCTGCCAGCTGAACCCTGCAAATCCACAGCTCCTTGACTGGCTAAGCAGGGGCTTTGAACTAACTCCATTATTCAAAGTGAAGACACCCCTGGGGAGAGACAGCAGCAGCTGTACCAGATAAAACTTCATATCAATAATTTAGCAGAGAGGAGATTTTGATAGGATACAGGAAAAGGGACCCAGAAATGAAATAAATTGTGCAAGGCAACTGTTCCTTCCTTCCTTGTTTTTGCTGAGTTCGTGAGCCTAGGTGCAAGGTGAGGAAAGGTCTTGTATTCTCCCCGGCTCCCTGGCTTCCCCTCCCCTACAGGACGAACCTCCGGCTTCATTAATGGGCAACAAGCTAGACCATGGATGAGACTCTGTGGGCGTGTCTCTTACACAAAGGGGCGGGGCCCACCTACCACGGCCCACAAATGACCAAACAGACACAAAGGAGTGCTGACCTAGGATCCTGTGGGAAGGGTGAGGTTATAGAGACTTCAGGAGCTCCAGAAAAGCATGGAGCTAGAGGCAGGAAGAACAGGAGGGCACTAGAGGGGAAGAAAGGAAGCCAGATGGGAATTTTTGAAGAGGTGGATTCCAACAACCTATTTACAAGTCACATATCCACTCTTTCAAGAAGTAACAGTTGAAATAACATAAAATACCATCAAAATCCCCTGTTGACTGTTAGTTAGCTCCAATGAATAGAGGAGGACAGGATTCGGCAACAAGGTCAACAAGGTCTTATGAAGTTCCTTTTGTTTCTATCACTTAACCCCGTGCTTACAGGAATAAAACGGAGACTAGTGAGCACACCACAGAGGAAATACGTATCCTATTTCAAGGTCAACTACTAACGGGTAGAAAGAGTTTTACTGTGTCCCTCCAGAGATGTCAAAACTTAAATAATGGAAGCAGAATTTCCTTGATTCTTCTCTGATGGAGAGTTATTCCTAATGACTGGTGCTTTACAGCTTGGGTAGTCTGAACTGGTCATGAAAACACATCAAAAGTATGGAATCAATACTAAGAGTTTTTAAAAGTACCACCAGGCAAAGACGGGTTTGTCTACTGCGCGGTCTTGGAACTAGAACACAGTACCAATTTATCTTTACCTACAATGGAAATCACGCCAAATATCTTCCCTTCGGTCAGCCCATGAACTAAATCGGACTGCCTCCCCTCCCCCTAAGTTTGTAAAGAGTCCCCCACAGCTGCTACTGGTATGGAAGAGTATTATCCTATAGCATCGATGTCATCATCATTTAGAAGCCAGGTCATAGTTTTAAAACCAGGAAGCATCTGTAGCATATAAAATTACTTTCAACTTCTGAGGCTTCCAGGCCTAAAGCCAAAAGGTAATGAGTTACCTCAAAAATATTTCTTCACCAGAAAGAAATTATTTGGGGGGTAAGGGGTGAAACAAAAGCAATTCACACCACCTTACCCAGGGGTGAAGAGTAACCATCCATCGCGCCTTGCTTTCCATCTCTTCATTTTCTGTTCCCTGCCTTTTCCTCCAAGACCAAAATTCTTTGCATGCCCCAATTCTGCATCCTCTCTACAACATTCCCCAAAGGCCTGCTCTTCAGCTCTGGGGGCTAAAGGCATTCCGAGTCCACAAGCTTTTCATTATTGCTTATATTTCTTTTCTGCTGACCATGATTGCACATGAACTTGCCAACAATCTCTACTCAGGAGAGAGATTCAATTCTTTTTACGAAGAAAAATCATTTGGTACTTTATTTCTCCGTGAAGCTCTCATAATCGAAAGGAGTTCAATGCATCCAGCAAGTGACTCATTTTCCTTAATGGCTTTCAGACACTGGCATGCACATTCCAACAGCCAGAGCAGGGAAGGTAGGACCGCCCCAGGTTAGACAAGGGAGGCTCCATATCAGCGTGCCCGGTGGAACAGGCCGGCCGGGAGCAGGGGGCTGCTTTGGAAAGGGCATAGGCTTGGAAGCAGATCGTCCTCGATACACTGTCCACCAGGTAAGTTAGCCTGACTGAGCCTCAGGCTTCTCATCTACGAAATGGGAATACCACCGTGTAGAGTTTCAGTGGGGAATAAATGAAATAACTCTCACGCCTGGCACATGGTCCAATGTCAATAAATACTTTTGCTTTGCTCATTCTCCAGCCTCTCTTTGAATATCCTCTTAGAATACACACAGATGTTGGGGAATCCTCAGACTAGAGGGATTGTGTTCTATATTCCACACTGGCTGATTCTGGTAGGCATTTTTTTTTTTTCTTCCAAATGAGCAAGGTTACATGTCCTTCACAAAATCACAAAGGCAATAGTCCTCTAGTGATAATCAGTGTAACCTCCCATAAAAATGTGAGACCCCAAATTATTTCACGTGCTTGGGTCTGCAATGTGGGAGCAGTAACTTGCTCAGAGCACCATCTACCCTTCACCAGAGCTTCATATTTCTCCCCCAAATCACTGCTTTTCACTGAACTCAGTGCTCACAGAACAGGGATGAGAATTCAGCCTGCTTATTCTTGAGATCGACTGTTAACTTGGCGACTTCTGGTTTCCATTATGTGCAAAATCCTATAGAACATGCAGGAGGTGACTTTCCTAAAATGTATACGATATCTCCTCTCTTTCTCTAAGACCTCACTAATTTCTAATTTAAACAACAACAACAACAACAACAACAACAACAACAACAAAACCTCCCTTTATTTTTAGGTAATTTATACCAAAAATACAAGATGATTTTTAAAAGATCAATAACACCATCAAATAAGAAAGATAAAAAACCTAAAAAAAAAGAAGAGATCTGATGTGAGTATACACTCGGAGCTAATAAATACGTCCATTTGCTAAGCTGTGCTGGATATGCTATTCTAAAGCGACTACATCTACTAACAATAAAAATGGCAGGGCGCCTGGCTGGCTCAGGAGGTAGAGCACCCGACTCTTGATCTCAGGGTAGTGAGTTCGAGGCCCAGGTTGGGTGTAGAAACTACTTTAAAAAAACAACAACAGGGCACGTGGGTGACTCAGTCGGTTAAGTGTCTGACTTCGGCTCAGGTCATGATCTTGTGGTTCATGAGTTTGAGCCCCACATCAGGCTCTGTGCTGACAGCTTAGAGCCCGGAGCTTGCTTCAGATTCTGTGGCTCCCTCTTTCTCTGCCTTACCCTTACATGTGCACTGTCTTTCTCTCTCAAAAATAATCATTAAAAAATTTTAAAAAGAATAATCATACTCTAAGTACACTGGGTCAATAATTACCTCTTCGTTAAATAGTAATTTTCTTTTTTTTTTTTAATTATTTTATTTATTTATTTTGAAGGAGAGAGAGAGAGAACGCAAGCAGGGGAGGGGCAGAGTGGGAGAGAGAGAATCCGAACAGGCTCCACGTTATCAGCATGGAGCCTGAGGTGAGGCTGGATTCCCCAAACCTCGAGATCATGACATGAGCTGAAATCAAGAGTCGAACATTTAACAGGCTGAGCCACCCAAGCGCCCCCTATATAGTAATTTTTTTTAAGGCAAGGAATGATATGCAAATAGCATATACATGGCGACACGATCCTACCTGTTCACCTCCAAACTCAAAAGCATTTCTTCCCAAAGCCGAAATGGAATTGGTTGCATTTTTTGTTTAAATCAGTACTCTCTCTTTTATCCTACAATATTTTTCTCATTCTCCCTACACTCTGCCAAAAGAGTAATCCCCAGCTATGAAAACAAAATGTTTTAAAAACAAAACATTGTGATGTAAAGCCTTATGGCTTTTTCCATGGCATAACCCCCATCATTAATCTCCTGTTCACCTCGTGCCAAGAGTGGTCAAAGCTGGCATGTATGTAAAAAATAAATGGACCAAGTTTCCATTTCTTTTCTCCTCTGAGAAACGTGAGGAAAGTGTTGAGTAAGGAAAGTACTCCAGGGCAAGAGGATGTGAAATAATCTAAATGGCTCCCTTTACTCCCATTTTCCGGACCTCTAAGTGTTTATCTAGTGGAGCCTTCGAGCGAGTCTGGTGAGAAAGATCACGTACTGTGTCTTTAAGGAAACAAACCCACCCTGCAAGCTTAGAGGCCTAAAAAGGGCCATGAAAAACACACCATTCTGGACGCTGGGTACAGGGAAATCAATTCAGGGAAACAAACATCTTTCACCAAGTGGTTGCCACCTTCGTCCTTCGGCCTTTTTTTATAGGATCTTACAGCTGCCCACACTTGAAGGGGGAAGATTTGAAGTCTCAAGACTAGTGCTCAATTGCTTTAATTCATTTCTAAAGCAATCGTTTCTACTCCTCTTAACACTCACTAAGCCAACTCACAGGTATCAATGACAGCAAAAGTCTAACCAGGAAGTCGTTTCAAATTCTAAACCTGTTTTGTTGAGATGGTAGTGAGTGTATATTTTATTAAAAATGACAAAAATCCAAATTTCCACTGACCGCTGGCTGGTCAAACCAAATGTGGTATATACACACGATGGGATATCACTCAGCCTTTAAAAGGAGCCCTTAGAAAGGAAGGACATTCTGGGACGCCTGGGTGGCTCAGTCGGTTGAGTGTCTGACTTCGGCTGAGGTCACGGTCTCGGGGTTCATGGGTTCAAGACCCACGTTGGCCTCTGGGCTGACAGCTCAGAGCCTGGAGCCTGCTTCAGATTCTGTGTCTCTCTCTCTCTCTCTCTGCCCTTCCCCTTATCACGTTGTCTCTCTGTCTCTCAAAAATAAATAAAAACGTAAAAAAAAAAGAAAGAAAGAGAGGACATTCTGACATGGAAAAACCTTGAGGGCACTTATGCTAAGTGAAGTAACAAGTAAGACACAAAAAAGACAAGGACAGTGTGATTTTACATAATGCTTTCACCACTAAACTGTACGCTTTGAAATGGCTGATGGTAAAATTTTTTTGTTATGTGCATTTTACCACAATTTAAAATAAAATACTGTCAACAGTCAAAATAAGTAAGAGAGAGAAAAGAAAAAGTGAACTGAAAAGGTCAACTCCGGGGTCATCTACCTGGGTTGCTTAGTCCGTTAAGCGTTCAACTCTTGTCATTGGCCCAGGTCATGACCTCATGGTCGTGAGATTGAGCCCTGTGTCAGGCTCCACTCTGAGTGTGGAGCCTGCTTGGGATTCTCTCTTTCTCCCTCTCTCTCTCTCAAAATAAATAAATAATCTTAAAAAAAAAAAAAAAAAAAAAGAACACCTCCTAGTCTGTGTTGTCCACAAAGTATCTGAAGATATAAGGAGGGATCAAATGCAAATAATTTTTAGCATATCATTTATCGTGTGAGGATAATTCGTGGTCTGTGAATTCAGTCAAAGCTACGTCTTCTCCTAATGGATCTCTCCAGAGAGGAATGGCGTTGGACTCCGTTAAATTGGAATGAAGATCTTTGCCACATTTCATTTCACCTAATGGTTCCTTTGGTATCTTCCCATTCTTCTGATTCTTTGAGATGTTTAACCTCACATGCTGGATGACATACAGATGCCCTTTGGAAGGTTCTCTGAGGTAGGCCGCTGTTGGTCTATGCTGCCCTTTTTGTTTGGGGACAGTGCTATGTGTAGGCAAACAATGCTGTGTTCTACCAAGTGGGATGTTGAGGGCAGATCAAGCCATGTCCCTCCAGGTGCCTTCTGCCATAGCTTTGCCCAAGCCCCTGCTTATGAACTATAGGAAGACACCATTGTTATTTTCATTTCTATTATCCGTGAAGAAATCTCTGTGCTTGGTGTCTCAAGTTAGCTGGGCTGTAAGCATTTTTTTTCATATTTGAAGACAAGACAACAGAATATACATACTTTTTTTTCACACCCCACACTGC